TCGAGTCCACAGCTGCTAATATTTTCTTCCGTAATTTGATTGAGTTACCCTTTTTCACTATTTGGTCTATTCGGTTTTCTTCTATATTGGAAAATTTACATTTTTCTGCCTGATTTCTAAGTCTCAAGAGAAATTTCTCGATTCCTTCTCCTTCTTCTTGCTTCATCAGACGAAAAACGTGTCGTTCATAAACTCCGCTATGTTATGGTGAGAAATATTTATCAAGTTTTGTGATGGCTACTTCGTAGACATCCACTCCTTCCTCCTGGTTGACATTGGCTCCTGGTATGTTATAAAATATTTCTTGCAATCCTAATCCACCTTGATGTAGAAGGTTCGCTTTTCTTCGAGGGGTTTCCAATACCGGCAGCTTCGATGTAAATAGAAAACGCTCTTTTCCATTTCTCCCAATGAAGGCCGACTGAACAAATGTCTCCCTCGACATCGAATTGACTAATGTTACAGGTATTTTGGTTCATCACGTCTAGAAATGATATATATATATAATTAAGAGTGCCCATTGGTGCCCTCTATTTGAGCTTTCGCTCACACCTGTAGCCGTTTCAGGACCTACAGTATTCGGACTTGGTCCAGGTCTGTGACCCTCAGACATTTCGTCTGTTCGAGTTTTCACTCAGGCCTGTGGCCTATTCATGACACATCGGTCTTCGGACATCCTGGTCCAGGTCTGTGACCCTCAGACATTTCGTCTGTTCGAGTTTTCACTCAGGCCTGTGGCCTATTCATGACACATCGGTCTTCGGACATCCTGGTCCAGGTCTGTGACCCTCAGACATTTCGTCTGTTCGAGTTTTCACTCAGGCCTGTGGCCTATTCATGACACATCGGTCTTCGGACATCCTGGTCCAGGTCTGTGACCCTTGTCTGATAATCTATCATACCCAGTTCAAGTTTCCAAAGTATTTCATTCAAATGTGACGAATTGAAAAATATGAAATTGACTGCATTCAGAATCGACCCGTATTCAATAATTGCTGCACGTCACCATGTCAACGGTTTTTCATTCTATGATTCATATTTTGGACTGCGCGTATATTTCACTCTACAAACTAGAACTGGGCGAGCTAGGTTCAGATGTCTTTTGCATATTTCTTCTACTCACCCTGATTAATCAACTTATTCCAAATTATTTTCACTCGTCGCCACTGTAATATACTGGGATTGGGTAACACAATTAAACACCGATGTACACTGTCCGATCGTCCAGACACTAATGAATCTCCTTATCATTATTTCAACCTATCCGCATTGCGATGGTGATGATTCACTCATGTCTTTCTGATCCGTTTATTCATAATTACTGGATACTACACATCACACTTGGGGTCTATCAAAAATGATTACAGAGATATATCGGGTGTTCAAATTCGAGATTTTTCAACTTTAGGATTTTTTTGTGTCGAAACTATTCATTATCGGTCAAAACGGCTCACATGTCCCTATCTCAACATTTGATTCACGATTTACTGATATTTTATCGGAACAGATAAAGGGTGGTTCAAGATTCAGAATCCTCTGATCATATAGTCTGATGTTTCAGTGTTTTTTAGGATTTCTGGAAATCCTATGTATAAAGTTTTATGCGTCGTTCTGAATGGAATGAAATAACGAATTCAACCTTGCATTCAACTAAACAATAAAATACATGTATCTCCAAAATCATAACCCCTAAAGAAATTGAGTACGGCACTGAATTCTCCGTAAAATTCTCTGATAGACGTAGTATTCGTAGTAACTCAGCACAACTTATATTTATTTCTAATGACTTCGTAGCAGTCTAATAACCCAAAATGTACAATCAAATCTGAAACACCCTGTATGCCTGCTCCTTGTGCATTTTACACTCTTCGAGAAATTTGCTAGATTTTTTCACTACTTCTGACTGTTAAACTCTTTCAAATCACTAGAGATTCTCGTGAAAATTATATTTTTAGCCTGTTTGATTTTTTTAAACCGTTCGAAAATAATAGTACCAGTATATCCGTGTTCAATTCTTCATCTTATTATATCTTGTATACTATATATCTGTTCCTCCTGTATAATTTCATTATCGTCATTAGTCATAGATAAATCGTTTGTTCGGAGAGTAATCTGTTAGCTGCATGATTCAACCTATTCGTCATTCATTCGAGACCAGGTGGTGAATCAAGACAGTCTTATATTAGATGTCATCACGTACGGTCGACTTTTCTGATCGCAACTGAAAAATACGCGAAAGGAATTATTTATCGTTCCAAACGGAGTGTTCACTTGAAAATGAGTGCAAGTATTGTGTTTTTGTATTCCTCATACAATTCAGCGATTATATTATCGCGATCGTGTGCTGTTCTGGTGTTTCGTGTCACTTCGTGTTGTTTCATCAAAGCTTCGCATTTTTCACCCTGGTGAGTAGAGAGAAATTCTCTCAAGTTTTCCTCATATTTCCCTCTTTCCTCTTTACTTTCAACTTCATTATCTTATATGTTTTCAAAATCACAAAGGTGTCGCTTGTTGAATATTTTCCGATGAAGGAATACTTTCTTCTGATCTTGGTACTTTCCGTTCAGAACTATTTTTTTTCTGAAGATGATAATGCGAAAAGAGCAAACCAGAAAAAAATAAGACGATTCGAAATTTTCATGGAAAAATACCTTTTGCCTATACAGGGTGTTTCAGATTCAAATGTTCATACTATACCTGCAGATATAGGAAACTTTGGTGGTTCCAATCACCCCCTATCGATGTGTCTACCATATTTTATAACTGCGATACCGAACGTAATATTGAATTCGGCAAAATCTGTATAATTGATATTCAAATTATATTATTCATCAAAACTAAATAGGAATCAAATTTAGAATCCAGAACCGTCTTCAGGAAAAACAGAAAACTTCTTCTTTTTCAAAAACAACACTCTGTATATCGGAATTTTGTAGATATGTTTCGATATTTGTAAAGAACGGGGAAACTAATGAATTGGCATACCTCTTATTTAGTAGTGCGCTTCCAATTTGACATTTTTTCAATATTTTCCGATGAAGATATATTTTCTTCTGATTTTCGTACTTTCCGTTCAGAACGGTATTTTTTCAGAAGAGGATGATACGAAAAGAGCAAACCAGAAGAAAATAAGACGAATCGAGATTATTTCATGAAAACATATTTTTTGCTACACAGGGTGTTTCAGATTCAAATGTACAAACATCGATGTGTCTACCATCTTTTATAACTGTGATACACAGAACGTACTTAATCTTGATTTTGGTAAAATCTTCATCTGGTCAGCTCATAACTTCTGAACCATGGTGTATAATCGATTCATACTCGATAGGTATATTCAACGACCTTTCAACAGAGTGCATCCGATTTGACTTTTTTTTTCATCATCTTTTTCGAAATAAAATTTTTGTTGAACTCCTAATTCAAAGTCCAATTTTATCATAAAAAAATGATCAGTTCCAAAGTTCAACTTCATTAGAGTCAAATAAGGTGAACTATATCGATAGTTTTCATTCCATAAAATAATTGTTAATGAGATATTTTCAAGACCTTGTTACAATTTCAGTATTTCAAAAAATAATGATAGTTTGAAAGTTATATACATGAAATTCTTTTTTTTTTATCTTACTTTCAAGGTCAATATCTACGAAACGAAGCGCGATATACTTTTTTTTATATGAAGTACCAACATTATTTTGGCTCACTCTACCAGTCCTATCATTTACAATATTACCTTTCCGGACATCCTGTGTATAGTTTGCAAATTTTTCCAAAAACCATTTTTCACTCATTTGGGATTGAATCAAAGTTGCCAATAATATTTAGATAACTGTGGACACAACAGAAATGCCATGGAAGCAAAACAGGCATTTTTTGACATCTCTGTCGCTCTTTGAATTAAAATGGGTTATTCAGCAGTGGAAAAATACGGAATTGTATAATTGTTATATTATGAAAATATTGCGGAAACTTCGGTAATGCATCAAGAATTTAGTCCAAATCGGATTTCTTTTCCAGATTAACAAGCAAACAGACAGAAAGCAAAGTGTTTGGTTCTTGCCACTGAGTCGGAGAAAACCATCCAGTCAAGACGGACCGAACAGAAAATCCGCAGAGAGAACTGACCAGAGTATACTTTTCAGAATTCTGATCCTTATATTCGTACGGAAGGCGATATATTGAATTCCTTTCCAGATTCTCAAGCAAACAGATAGACAGATATTCACCTTTATGTCTCTATGGAAACACGACAGGTACCCTTACGAGGGGAGAGTATCAACTCGGCGTTTATAAACCCTCTCTGCAAAGGAGGTCGGCGCATGGTGGGTTAGGTATATACAGTGTTTTTCATTGCAGAGAAAATCGTTGTTTATCTGCCTACCTCGTCTGCATTGAGAGAGTTGATGAATTGATGAATAATCATAAAAATATATCGCATTTCAGTTACGAATGTTGAAAACAAAATTCAGACTTTATTGATTTATATTCTATGTACGTCTTACGATTCAAATTTCAAATTGATGCTTCGTTTTAGATCCGAGCAGCACACTGTTTGGCATTCATGGTCCTTATTATAACCCACGAAATTCTAAATGTAGCAGATGTCTACTGGAAAGACCACTATTCGGAAGGAGAGCGAATATGAAGCAATTTAGTTACGGTTGTTGGGAATATTATTCAGGTATGTTTCAGATTCAACATTCAACATCAGTTTTAATTCTCATGGACTTTCTGATATGTGCATTGTAATATAATAATTATTGTGTATACCTCGTATAGGTCTCAATTGTTGAATTACTATTGGAACTACTTTGTATTTGACCTACTATCATACACGTCAGCTGTCAATGTCAATCGTGACATTATCATGCTGTCAGCATTGTCATATTATTATGTTGTTGTTGTTGTGAAAAATGTGAAAATGTCAATGCACTAATGCAGTACGAATAATTTGATTTCATGTTTTCATATGTTTAACGAAAAACCAAAAATATTCCAGAATGGATGATAAAGAAGGTCCTATATTATACGTGCTTGTAGTAGGATTTCATCACAAGAAAGGTTGTCAGGTATGAAGCTAAGCTTATTTTATCAAAACACATTTGTTTGATCCACCCCCTATCCTTTTCTAGGTGGAATATTCTTTTCCTGAGCTGGTTCCAGGCCACCCTAATGAATGTCCTGCTGGATGGAAGTACTTGCCGACGTTAGCATTGCCAGATGGATCTCACAATTATAATGAAGACACTGTGTATTTCCTTTTGCCAAGTCTCACAAAACCAATGCAAACTATTTATGGGATTTCTTGTTTTAGGCAAATACCAGTGGAGGTAAAATCCCTTCAACCACCTCATATTGATAAAATCTGATGAATGTTTTATATGAGGTTTCATATTACAGAAATTGAAAAATAAAACTGCTGATATAACTAGGGGTACTGTTCAGAAGTCAGTATGTGTGCTTAGTAAAATACCACTGTTTGGACAAATTCAAGTCAAGATGTGTCTCATTACCCATGCCTACTTTGAAGAAGGTGACTTCAGTAAAGTTTCTATATTGAAAGACACTTACTATCATCTAAATGCTGTGATGCTCCAAAGTGATACCATACAACAAACATTTGTGGGTGAGTAAATAAAAACAAGAGCTGACTCAATGTTTGATAAATTTTATATCTTGCCTTCTCTGTGATTCACAAAGTAAATAATGGAAAGGTTGCAAAATTTATTTTTATCAGTAGAGTATTTTGTTTCAGGATTATCTGCTAGAGATTTCATTTTACAATGGAAACACAAGGCAATATTGCTTTTTAAACTTCTACTTCTTGAAAAACGAGTCATTTTCTTCAAATCCCCTGTTCATCCTCTCTGTACAACAATATTAACTCTCATTTCCCTGTTTCCTGAAATGATAGAATCAGGTTTACATCAATCAGCTTGTATAAGGTGAAGTACCTTAACAATCTTTTGATATCAAAGTACTTATTATGTTGTTTCAAGGTTATCAAGACCTATGTCTCCAATGCCAGAATACTCTGATGAAGATGGGAGTCCTATAAAAAGGAGGATATCCATGAATGGAGTATCATGCACAAATAACACAGTCTCAGAAAAAGAGCAAGTTCTGAACACTGTAGGAGGTGAGGATGATAATATGTCAGGAGATCCCAAGAATGCTGCTAGTGGTTTAAAGGTCTCTAAAGATTTGGAACAACAAACTGGGGATTCTGAACAAACTGATGATTCAACAGAAGTAGGATTTGAGATTACAGAAACCAATGATAATCATAATATATTAGTATGCTAAGATATCCATTTTTTGTTCAATACCTAATGATATTCTATGTGTGTGGTACTTTCATTTTTTAATTTTCTTAGATTTTTGTTTTATAAATGATGTATAAATGATCTCTTATTTTGATGGAATCATTTAAGTAACTAGAGTCCTTGAAAACTCTTGATTATTTATTTTCAGAATAACAGGGAAAATCCTCCTGAAGGGTCCATTTCCAATATAGGTGAAAAAAACAGTAGCCTTAGGAGAGATATCAGCTCTGATACAATCTCAGATTTAGTTCAAAACAATATATCTTACCTCACACATCTAAATTTTGAAAGCTGTGGATTTCCTCTTGCTATCTTCACAAAAGGTTTGTATCAAAATTGGGAGGGGGCCTTGATGAACAATTTCTGAACTGAATGTTTCTTCATCAATACCTACAATGTTTGAATATCTAGAATATTTCTCATCAATTTCATTATTATCCATAGTCTGAGGTCTTTCAGCTTATAATGGTGAATTTCAACATGACTTACCCTGGTTTTATACTAAGAATAATGAGTAATAATTGGATAATTCTAGATATAAATTTTGAGTCCACTTTTTCTAATTTTTGAGTTAGGACTATGTCAAGTCATCAATGAATTCAACATAACATTTTCAGATCTATTTTACCCTCTCAAGTTTTTTGAGAACTTCAAAATGATTATCAAATAAGTTCTAGTGGCTCCATATTTTATTTTATTTTATATTAAAGACAAGTTCAATGGCCTCATTTTAATTCATGATTTTGAACTACCCTTTCACAGTTCAAATATAAAGGACCTTGCACCACATCAATGGGGAATTGGCTTTTGGTGAATTTACTAGAATTTTTTAAATTTTGTAGAACTTGTGGTGCTGATCAAAGGTCTCCATTGCACCAACGCCCTAAAATTGAAATTATGGAAGGTGTCTTCACAATTTCTATCTAAAATTTTGGAAGTCAACTTTATCACCCTATATAATCTTAACTGTTGATTTTAGACTGTTGGTGCAATGGAGACATTTCATCAGCACCACGAGTTCTACAATATATCAAAAATTGGAGTAAATTCACCGAAAGCCAATTTCCCATTGATGTGGTATGGGTCCTTTGTGAGTGCATTGCATTTTATTTACTTCTAGGTTCCTTGTGCTTACCATACCTTTCTCTGCCATATATGGATCTTTTGACTGATATGAATGTTAGAAGTTATGTAGTTGGAGCCACAAATGTTTTATTCAAGCAGAAAAGGCAGCTTTATGACATTTTAGTGGATATAGATGGTGGTAGAATTGAATGCCAGGATTTAAATTTGAGGAAGCATCTGCATTTGAATACTGAAGATTTGAGGTGAATCCTTGACAACTCTTAATTTATCTGAGTTTACTGACCCATGTATGTTTTGTAGGTTTGCTGATTATATTGTAAAACATGTCTCAGAAGAACGACATGATGTATTTCTAGATGGAGTAGGTTGGGAAGGGGGTGATGAATGGATCAGGGCACAATTCAGGGTTTACTTATTATGTCTGCTTAGGACTTCAATGCTCCAAGGTATTTGATTTGTCAATAATTTATAATAGGCTACTGAACTAGTATTGAATTCCTCACATCCAACACTTACACTGTGTTGTTTCAGACCTCAAAAGATTTTTCATACCATTTGGATATAATAGCCAATGCACTATTCAAAATTCTCAAAATCGGCGTGTACACCTCAGTAGAACTTTTAACTCAAACCATGTTTATAATGATCCTTTTATACATAAATAATGATTGACGACATAATTCCATCAAAAAAATAACTGGAATGTTTTATTTTTGGCCATAAATAATAGTACCTTCTGAAAACGGACCCTCTTATGACATAGAAACCTCATCTCGCCATAGTTAAAAGCGAGGTTAAAAGAAACTACCAAACGCCCGACGGAGACTGAGGCAACTGATATATTAATTCTTTCAACTGTGATCTCACGCTAATTCACTCTGTCAGAAATCATGTACCATTCATCTTTGTCTGGATTAGTATTGTTTCAGTATTAGGGTTTTGACGTCACATCATCGCCTCGTTTTCAGAGGTCCGAAAAATCGGGGACTACAATTATTTTTTATAAAACGTAGGGAGCTCACAGCAAGAAACGGTTTGCGGTGGTGAGCTAGTTTGGGAGAGTTCCATCAAATTATGAAATACAAATTTTTTGTGATATATTATCATTGGAAATATCCCTAGTTGTATTCACTAGTGCACAATATGAGGAAAAGCACATCCCCGGGGAACGAGGAGGCAGACATACTAGCCAAGATCGGTTCAGGAACTACACCCATTGGACCAGAACCAGATATTGGGAATACCCAATAGTACGGCTATGTCCTTCATGAAGGAAATGCTACAGAGGCAGTTCCTTGAAACATGGCGGGACACACCAGGAATGAGACAATCAAAGCTCCATATAAAGGAACCTTCAAAAAGGCTCACGAGAGAGATCCTGTCACTTAATAGAAGGAATCTCAAGATGGTAGTTGGGCTCTTAACTGGGCACAAACACCTCAACAGGCACCTAGAACTCATAGGGATCAAAGATGATCCCATCTGCAGATGGTGCTTGGAGGCTGATGAAACATCATCACACATACTCACTGAATGCCCCGCGCTGGTGCATCAGAGGAAAGCTGCCTTTGGGAGCATTGTACTGCACCCAAAGGATGTGAAAGCGACTCAGCTGAGGAAGCTGCTGAATTTCGTCGAAGAAATCGGCATGCCCAGCTGATACACAGGACAAGTGGGCGCACAATGGGCCCGACTGAAGAGGCCTGAGTGCAGGGGTCTACGCACCCGCCCACCTGTGCAGAGAAGAAGAAGAAGAAGAAGAAGAGGAAAAGCACATTTTCCTCCCATGGAAGAATGGCATGGCAATGTATCATTGCAATTTATGAATACCTACCTAATATTGGCAAGACTGAACCAAGTGCTATGTGAGTGATGCATTCCACACTGAATATTCTTTAGTGTGTCTCATACACTCAAGCAAATATGTATATTAGGTACCTGTATAAAGAAAATATTATCTAGTTCAAAATTAAGCTACTAGAAATCTTTCCACATAGTAGGAGAACAATGAGTCATGATTTATGAATGTTTATAGACTGACAATTTATGTGATTTCAAGACCTTGTGTGTGATAAAGAATAAAAAATTGGAAAAATCAGTTCATTAGCCTATAGTGAATTATAATATATATGAATTATAAAAATAAATGTCCATAAAAGATTTCATTTTGTAGTATGTGTCTTTAGAGGATCTGTTTTTAATTTTTTCAGATGGTGCTAGAGAAATAGATCATTTCAATTCAAGTTTCATAACTAGTTGGAGAGAAACTCACAACTATAAGAACTGGCTAGCTGGTATCAATCCAGGAATTCTGGATGTTCATCCAGGACATCCATTTGCTGGACAGTTATCAGTTGCTGACATGAAATTACGGTTAACACAGTAAGTTACTTTTGTTTTTGTGATAAATAAACACCAATTTAATCACACTTTTGTTCAGTACAATGCAAAATACCGAAAGTGGCAGGAAATTGAATCAAGCTATGGCATCTACTGGAAAAGCTGTAGCAACTACTAGCAAAGCTGTGGGTAAGTTTTTGTTACTAAAATAATGCAAATTGGTAAGTGATGATGGTGAAGAATCCATTAATATACCTACTTAATGGAGTAAAACAGCACTTACCTAATATTCAAACCTGTCTGAAAGTTCCTTGCAGGGAATAGCATTTTCATTAAAGAAGATTGAATCAGAATGTGCCTTTTGCCTCTATGAAAACGGAAAGTGAAGGATGGAAAATGCCATCGCAAAGTGTACTTTTTTAGTAAATTTAGGTTCATAAATAATGATTAATTATAATAACGATCAATAATCGTTGATAATAAAATGAATTTAAATTCTCTGATTCATTCATTTATAATTCAGGTAACTAACTAATGTTTGAATCATGAAAATTACCTAGGAGTATGGTGAGATAGTTAGTTAGTTAAAATAGACAAAAGAATATTCAAACTTATGAGAAGATAATTTCTGGCTATACAATCTAACGCAAACACTACATTTCTTTTTACTGGACGTGGTTCAGAAAAGTTTTAGTATGGAATAAAATCAAATGGAAACATAAACAAATTTCACATTATTTTTTCCATAAAAACACATAAATTGAAGCTGCTCTTAGGAGAGCAATGCTCCATATGATAGTAAAAAGTAAATGCTTTTGTGTATCAATAATATGCATTTATACAGCTTCGGCATTCCATTACATACATAGCGGTGTTGCCACAAAAGTGGTTTGTAGTTTTGAAGGGTTGTTCACATTATTTTTCGTAATTTTCATCAATTATTTGTGCAAATTAGTGTAGAATGGTTCCTCAGTACCAAGTATGCAAAAAATTGAACAATTCTTTGTACTCACATAATTAAAATGGCATTTAGCGTACGGATATGTACCACACTATTCAAAAAATCAAACACGGTACCATGGCAGCACAATTTATTAATCACATTATCATGGCAACAGAGTTTTTTAAACACTCCTTCAGTTGTTTGAGTCCTGTCCTGTCCGGCCTGTTAGTTGTAGGAACGATTAACTGTCATTTTGGAATTTTGTTGCAATCAGAATTGTTCAAGCAAATTCTATTTGTATCAGAATTTTTCATTGAAAATGTATGCGAAATGTAGACGAAAGTGAAATCAAACAAACAAATTACGAAAGTAAAACAGAATGTGTGATCAAAATTATGCAATTAAACCTGAGATATCGAAAAATTTGATATCTACCTCAAGGAATCAAAGAGTTTTTATCTTCTACGTTAGATGAAAACTTAAATTTAATACTTGATGTATTCAAATATTATACAGGGTGTTTCAAAAAACCTAACCCCCTTGCTAGGGTAGGTAGAACATTGCGAAATAAGTTGGGTTTGCTCGGAAAAAAATGTCGTAACGCCATCCGTTTTCAAGATACAAGGTGTTGAAACAATTTTTTTTACACATTTTTTACGATTATGTTGAAACTACTGGCAACATTGTGAGGAAATTTTGTATGGATGTTTCTTGGAATCTGACACATCGCATGCATTTGTTCGTATATCTGACTCTCATAGAGAACGCTAGTTGCACGGTTCGTACAGAGTAGTTTTGAACATAACTTTTTTGAGGTTAGATTTTTCAATCCAAATTTGATGTGAACTTGAACATCATTCAATTCCACACCATAAAGGTACTCTTGGTGAAACTCGATACTGTGTTCCGTTTTCGTAATATTTCGATTTGAAAATGATGAAGTGGTGACTGTTGCTGGTATAAAGCTATGTATCAGAGTGAGTATTGTGAAAAATTATCACCTATTTATTGAAAACCAAAAACAACAATACATTTCTGATGCAAAACTCATTGATTTAACAATGAATCACAAGAATAACATCGAAACAAATTTGACTAAGAACATGGATTACACAGTTTTGTTGTATCTTGAGCAGAAAGTCTATGCTACATAGGTAAATTCAAGTCAAGAGTTGTGAGACATAATTGAACATCACTTAAATGACCTAACAGCTGATCCTCAACTGTTCAGAAGAATAATTCATTCTTAAAAATAGAATATAGAATCGTGTATTCCTCGAAACGTAGGACATTTTGAACACTTACTATAACTGTTTCTAGTGAAATCTCTTAATTTTCTACTTATGATTCTTTGTTCCATCAATAACTTCAGCACAAGAATAATTTTATTGTTTTTGAACCTGAATAAATTGGTAATTGAACTCGATAAAATTCATTTTATACCAGCATCATTACTACTCCATTATTTTCAAATCGAAATATTCCGACAACGGAACATAGTATCGAGTTCCACCAGGAGTACCTTTTTGGTGTAAAATTGAATGATGTTCAAGTTCATATCATATTTGGATTGAAAAATCTAACCTCAAAAGAGTTATGTTCAAAACTACTCGGTACGAACCGTGTAACTAGCGCCCTCTATGAGAGTCAGATATAAAAACAAATTCATGCGATGTGTCAGATTTCAATAAACATCCATACAAAATTTCATTACAATGTTGCCAGTAGTTTCGGAATAATCGTGAAAAATGTGTAAAAAAATCAATTTTTCAACACCTTGTATCATGAAAACGGATGCCGTTACGACATTTTTTCACTGAGCAAACCCAACTTATTTTGCAATGTTCTACCTACCCTAGCAAGGGGGTTAGGTATTTTTGAAACACCCTGTATTATTTATGAGTATTATAATTGTATAGGTTTAGGTATCATTAACTATACTTCCTTATAGTAGCACTCGATTCTGACTGGAAGTCACATGTTCAATAAATAAATAAATTTAAAAAAATATCCTTACGACAGGATATTCCCGTTTTATAAATTCTAAACAGAATGCTTTCTCAAGGTGGGGCCCTCACTCAAGCAAAGGGGGCTTTCAGTAGCTGGTGGAGTAATTTTATGGTGAGCCCTGAACAAGGCCAAAAAATTTCAGAAACTCAAGCTGAAGAGGCCAGTAGCAGTAATTCGACTGATATAGCTGACATTCCCAATAGTATTAGTAGTGATCAAGAACATGTAGATAATGATGTTTGTAATGGAGTTGCTGTGAGTAAAGAAGGGTGTAAGGTGATTGGTGATTCTCAATTGAACAATATGCACCAACCTGGAAAGGTACACACTGTGTAACTTTTAAGTGTGTAAAACTTAGTATGCATAAGTTTCTCATTTTTGTCTGTTTGTATTTGATACTTAGGTTAAGAGAACTAGTTCCTGATCTCTGAAAGTTTTCATGTTTTTTGATAATCATCTCATCTTATGATTCATTGTTATGATTCATCGGCTCGATTCAAGACTCATTGTTCCTAGATGAAAAATGTTTCATTTTCGGAATACAGGAATTTCCCGTGGAGAATATGATTTTTTCAATACATTATTAGAGAACAGTTCAACAAGAAGATTCAAAATTATGAACCACCCTGTATTCTTTAAAATTAAATATCAGTAGATAGGAAATCAAAATAGTTTCGACCGAAAAAAATCCTAAAGTTGAAAAATCTCAATTTTGAACACCCTATATCTATGTAATCTCGCTAGACCCCAAGTGTGATGCATTGATGAAATCAGCTCACAAAGGAGAATCCGAAAATGCAATGAAATACAGGGTGTTTCATAAGAAAAAGTGTAACTTTGATACGTCACGCTATTTTGAGTCACCCTGTTTAACGCAAGATATTTTGGAAATGTGCTCTTATGAGCAAAATTTTTGTTCATCTATCTCAAACAGCAAAGCCGTTATCTCACTTTCCCATTCCAATGACTCACCCTGTATATAGTGTCCTAGTGTCCCATTTATTCATTTATTTATTTTTATTACATTGTTATTAAGTTTTTTTGTAACATTTTTGCTGGTCAGAATTTATTTTTTCCATATTCGTATATTGTTATACAGGGTAGTCCAGATTTTTGTACAGGGTGAGCCCCATTTTAAGATGAGAAGAAATATTGGAAATAATATGAAAAAAGGCTCTCCAATGGAATTGGAAACTATAATAATGATAGGATCAATTATTTTTTCAAAGAAACACCTATATTTTGGCATATATTGACACTTTTTTTTTTCTATCGAGAGGCGAGACTCAGAAAATAATTGGACATTTTGCCATCTTGATGAACATAGTTCCAACAATGCATTAAAACGAAAACGGCTTGTTCATTAAAATTCCACATGATTGCATTCTTCTTCGGAATTCAATGATAGATAATACAGGCAAACGGTAGTTTCACGCTATCCAGTAGTCGGTTTTATCATCGTTTCCCATGTTTTTCCGGTTGCTGGATCCAAATGTGAAATTATCCAACAAAATTTCCTGTTGTGTTTTGAGATATTCGCAGAAAACAGCAAGATTTCTGCATTTTTTTTATTTTTCGTTTATAATTTCAAAAAGTATGTGTGGTAGCGGAAACACGAATCATACCTTATTTAAAAGAAATAAATTTGCCACAATTTGAGTGTAACCCCAGCACTGTAAGTCTAGTATTTTCCGAGATACAACACTACAAATATGGGCTATTTTCTTCAAAAAATGGGAAATCAAGTTTTGAGTCACCGAGGAGAAAATTTTTGAGCAAAATATTGTAGAAAATAACACGTTGAAAAGGTTTATCAAAAATAATAAAGACAACACTTCCAAATTCGAAAAATCAGGGGTATACAAACTCAACTGTGGATCTTGTCCTAAGGTATATATCGGTCAGACAGGTCGTACGTTCAATCAACGTATTCATGAACATAAGATTTTTTGAAAGAGAAAACAAATTCAACATACTCCAACCATATATTAGAAGAAAACCATAGTTTTGATGATAATTTCGAAATTCTACACGTAGAAAATAAAGTAATAAAACCCTATCATTTTGAATCATTGAAAATCACCAAATTCAAAAATTCTAACATTTTTCTCAACGATCAACTAGACCTCAATAGTTCACCACTGTTGAATTTGATTTCTTAGTCGGTAATAATATGTATTTGCTATCAACCCTTTCAAGTTAATTCAGTACACTGTGTTTCAATGTAGATATTGTGCCTAATTTCCGAAAATGAAGGTTTATCAAACATTTCCGCAGGTAATTCTAATCCTTGAGCTTGGGAAAGTAGGATGAATATAAGTTAAGACATGACTGATGAAGCTACTGTGTTAGCGAAACATGTCATGTTATTAAGAATTTTGTGGAAATATTTGAAAAATTATTGGTCCATTTATATCATACAACCAATCAGCTTCTGGGATCCTCAATTTAATAATTGTTGATTCTTAGTGATATTGAATTTATGGATTGAACAAAAATGCTGAGAAATAGCCGGGAAGGGTGACGGAAGAGGTTTTCCCCTACAAATTATATTACTCCTGTCAGTTTTCCTCGTAGGATAATTAGTTCTCCAATATTTAGCTCAAAAACGGCTCAAAACTCAACTTTTATTTTTTTATAAAATTGGCCTATATTTGAAGTGCTGTATCTCGGGAACTACTGGACCTATGGAGCTGCTGTTAGGCTCAAATTGTGGCAGATTTAAACTTCTTCAAATATGGTATAATTCGTTTATTTTTCGCTAGCACTCATTTTGGAATTATGAGCGAAAAACCAAAAAAAGTGCAAAAATCCCGCTGTTTGTTGCGTATACAGGGTTATGATAAAGTAATGCACATAATTCATAAAACGTACAACGATCACTTTTGAAAAAAATGTAAAAACACGTCAAACTGTTCTTTTTATTCCGCATCTTTTGACATAAGTTACAAAAATAACACGTCAAAGTTATGAAGTCATCAACAATTTTTTTTAATGGGAAGCTAAGATTTTTTTTTACATTATGTGATAAAGCTTGTGTTTTTACACAAGAGAGCAGCTCTATCACATAATGCAATAAAAATCTTAGCTTCCCATTGAAAAAAATGTTTGATGACGTCATAACTTTGACGTGTTATTTTTGTAACTTATGTCAAAAGATGCGGAATAAAAAAAACAGTTTGAAGTGTTTTTGCATTTTTTTCAAAAGTGATCGTTGTACGTTTTATGAATTTTGTGCATTACTTTATCATAACCCTGTATAAAACACACCAGGAAATTTTGTTGGATAATTGTAGATTCAGATTCAGCTAAACATAGGTAACGATGATGAAGGAGAGGGTGTTTTATACCGTCTGCCTGGATTATAAGTTATTTAGGGTATTGTTGATTTTCTCTTGAATATCCAGTGGTGCCCTACTTATTTCTAGAAAAGGTATATGATGCCCATGTCATCTATTTTTGATTTGTACTGTAGAGTATAGATGCGAGTTCAAACAGAAAGGATTGATGTAAAACCCGGACCACCCCGTAAATTATATTTCTTAGAAATAAGTTTCATATTTATTTTATTCATTACAACACGTGTTTCTGGTAATGAATAAATATGTATATTATGAGTTTTACTCACATTTTTTTGAATTTATGATCATCAATTTGTATATTTATATTTTGCTCAATAATTGTTTTAAGTTAGTTATCCATGATTATTTATGAATTTTGTATATTTTCGTTCTGAAAAATTCCAATTTAAATATACAGTGCTCTCGTAAAGTACTGAATACATCAATTTTTAGACAAACTATCCATTTCTGAGAATTCTCCTGAGACAAGTCGAATTTTATTTTCAATTTGCCATATTTATATGGAAAAATCAAATATACAGGGCGATCCACGTTTGAGTTGAGGACCGTGATACTTATCAAACGGAACACCCCATATATTATTCAATTTCTGGAATCAACAAAGGAAGCTGAATTCCAAGATAAAGTAGTAAATACATTCATTTTTTTTCATACTATCAACCTCTGAGAAAACTGCTGAGACACGAAGTTGTTTTTTCGAATTCGCCACATTTATGAGGGAATATTGACTATACAGGTGATCCACATATTATTGTATTTTTGGAAATATCCATGGAAATCTGGATTCAATCACATACAGGGTTTGTAGCATGTCCGTTGAATCAAGTGCTCTCATGTAGTAGTGGATATATTCGTTGAAAATTGAAGGAAAAACATTTGGAAAGAACGCTCAGAGCCGCCGAATTTTATGTTCATTCAGGCATTCTCTCAAATTCAATTAATACAAACAGAATAATAAATTCGTGTAAGTGAAATTACGGCATTGGTTGTTCAAACCCTATGTGTAATATAGTTTTGAATTCAACCTTCCATGAGGATTCCAAAAATTCAATAATATATAGGGTGTTCCATTTGAAAAAATATCGTAGACGTCATAACTCAAACGTGGATCACCCTGTATATTTAATTTTCTCTCATAAATGTGAAAAATTGATGATAATCGACCTCTTTCAGGAGATTTCTCAGAAATTGATAGTATGGATAAAAATTTATTTATCCACTGTATATAATATCTGTTATACATTTTTGAATTCAGCTTCATATGGAGATTCCAAAAAGTTAATAAGATATAGGTTGTTCCATTTGAGAAATTTGCCGTGGTCGTCATAGCTCAAACGTGGATCACCCAGTATATTCAATTCTCCATCATAAATGTGGAAAATTGAAAATAAAAATCGACCTGTTTCAGGAGATTCCTCAAAAATAAATAGTTTGGCTAAAAATGAATTTATTCAGTACTTTATGAAAGCACTCTGTATATTATATATTTGTTATTATGTTTACTTATGCTTCTCTCACTCAACTGCACTTGAAAATAATAATCACGTGATAAATACCCAATAAATATAATAATAAAGCACCATAATTATGAAATCTAACTATAAAATACCTGTTTCAAAAAAGATAATCATTTACTTATTCTGATATTTCATCAACTTTCTGCTTTTGTTTCAAATGGCATTTTTATTTCCGATAAATAATAATAATAATAATCAACATATTTTTTTTGAGTTAACATAAAAGTAGAACAAAATACCTATTATACAGATATGATACTCAAATGGCAGAATTCATTTTAATGATTTAATCGCTAATGACTCTTCCAATCAATCATAATAGTATACCTGTGAACAATTCCATGTGTTACTTATTTTATTATCTTTCCTCCACTTTTAGCAGTATACAGATCTGGAAGAAAATGTCGGCATATAGGATGTTCAATGCCTTTTGAAGTAACAGCCAGTCGACCAGTAG